ATATATATATACCTATATATAAAAACAAACAAAGGGCCTTAGATTTAGAAAGAGGGAGAAATTGTGGACCCAGCTGGGGACCTAGGAATTGAGGAATGACAGTAATGTTCTGTTTCCTCTCTATCAATTCCATATATCCCAAATGTGATAATGAAGGAGTCCACAATCTGGAAACCCCACTAGCTTCTAAGCTGCTCTTTCTTGCCAAAGGACCAGGAAGGACAGTCTAGCAAGACAGACGTATCAATGACTGTAACCTTAATAAAATCCTTGTGGAAAGGCTAGAATTATATATTTGCAGAGACATGAATGGGTACACCTCACCTGTCTCATGGATGAAGCCATATATATATATATACACTCTGGATCATCACTGCCATGCAGGGGTAAAGATACATCTCTCTCTGAACACCTCCCTCCCCACTATGATGTCAATGGAGACCACATGTGGGCCTGGACATTCATTTTTACCCACACAAGTTAACAGCCTCCCTCTCTGATACTGTGGAGGTGGCTTCAAAAGAAGCAATAAGGAGAGCTTGGGATTTGGGCACTGGCAATTGCTAACAAGGTGCCCTCTCTTCAACCATCCTCCTTAGGTGTCAGTGGAGATTTTAATGGGAAGTTTGGTTTCTTACCCCTGCCCAGTTAATAATGGGATTCCCTGCCCCTCTCCCATTTCCGGGTGGCACTGACTGAGACACTGTGTGGAGCTTTGGCATTCAGTGAGAAGGCAGTGGAGTACATGTGGGAACCTGGAGCTCTACCTTTTCATAGCAGTATCAGGGCACCCCTTCATTCTAGGGCTACCAATGGAGGCTGTGCGGGAAATCCAGTATATTTCACCATCCTGGGAGTAACTGCAAGTAAAAGTGGTCTCCTTCCCTTAGTGAAAGCATATGAAAGCAGAAGAATTTTAAATAAGTCTTCAAATAAGACTGAGAGTCTTCTAAGTACAGGATACAACTTAAAAGGAAGTATCAGGATACAACTGAAAATCACCCCTACTAAAAAATAAGGAAAAGTACAACTTAATTGAAAAAAGAAAATCAAAAGATACAACATCAAAAAAGATGTTGAAATTATCTAAAAAAGATCTTAAAGAAATTATGATAGAAGTCATTCTAAACACTGGAAAGAAAGAAAACCACAGAAAGCATCGGCAATGAAGTAGAATAAATAAATAAAAACTGAATGGAAATTTTAGAACTGAAGAGTATAACCTCCAAACTAAAAAACTAACTCAATAGACACAATAGCAGAATGAGGTGATAAGAGAAAATTATCAGTGAACTTGAAGGTAGAACAATAGAAGTAGCTGAAAGTGAATAAAGAGAAAAATAACAAATTGGATTTCATCAAAATCAGAAATCTTGTTGAGAAGGATGAAAAGATAAGCTGAAGAGTGGGATAAAACATTCGCAAACCAGTATCTAACAAAGAAAACTCAAAAATCAACAACCTAGTGAGGAAATGGATAAAACGCATGAACAAACATTTCATCATAAAGGATATACATGTGCCAAACACAGAAAAATACCTTTAATATTCTTAGCCATTATGTACTTTGAAACCACAAGAAGGGATGGAATTATATACCTATTAAAATCTAAAATGCTGCATAAGAATGCAGCATTTGATACTGAAATTGGATCATTCATATACTCCTGGGTAATAATATCATATAGTCATTCTGGAATATACTTTTGCAGTTTCTTAGAAAATGAAACACATACTTACCATACAACTCAGCATTTGGACTCCTAGGCAATCATCTCAGAGAAATGAAAATTTACTGTTCATATAAATATCTATACATAAGTGTTTATAGCAGATATATAATTGCTGACAATTAAAAAAACACTCTAATCATCTTTAATGGGCAAATGGTTCACTATAGTGTTCTCAATAAAAGAATGACAACTATTCCAGGCAACAATGATGATGTCTCAAGGGGACATATATAGAAGCCCTAAAGGTTATATATAGTATGATTCTACTTATAAAACATTCTCAAACATTAAAGAAATGGAAACTAATGAGCAGTTGTCAGAGGCCAGGGGTGGAGGGGTGCAAGGGGAAAAGCGTGATTATTAACGAGTAGCACAAGGGATGTTTGTGTGGTGATGGAGCACTTCTATATTTCGTTGCTGTGTTTTTAAAGATCTATTTATGTAGGCATACAAGAGCTGGGACGCAGGCCAGACATGCAGGGGCTGAAAGATTCACCAGAGACAGAATGCGGAGCAGAATAGGCAAGCTGACTGAAGTACACCATTGAAGGGAGCAGCAGGCCAGAGAGGAGAGATCTGCTCACCATTTGGATCACCTCCCAGGCCGGGATCTTCACTGGGGATTAAGTCCTTGCTTCCACTTAACCCGCTGCACCACAATTATATATTTTGGGTAAGATGGTGGTTACACGATTCTATACATCAGATAAAATTACAAAGAGCTACATACACTATATACTTGAGTGAATCAAAATTGGTGTCATATGAAAAAGGTCTTTGAATTGTATCACTATCAATTTCCTGGTTTTCATATTATGTAATTAAGTTTATTAAGAAAGCATGAAAATGAAAAGGACTGAAGAGCAGGGTTTTATCGTACCTGAGCTGATGCAGCTCCTGTTGCCAGGAGAGGTTTTCTTCCCCGACCTTTTCTTGCATAATATGAAATTTTTTTGTATTATCTTGATACTCCTGAAATTGAGCCGTCAGTGGATGTGATTCAGTGATCTCTTGGTTTATCTCTAAGTACTCCTGCTGTAGATTATTTTGTTCTTTCAGCTTTAACCAAACAGAAAGGACAAGAGTGATTCATCCCATCTCATTCATCCTTTGCAAGTCATCAGCTGCTCCCTATGAAGTTAGATGCCACAAAGACTACCAGAACCTCACAGTTCATGGACAGATCACTGCATTATTGGTCTCTAAGAATGGTGAAATACATGCAACCAAAATGGAGGGGATCATATTCCAGAGCTGCTATAAGACAACAGGGCTTGACCATTCCTGCAACTTCTATCCTGTTTTCTATCTCTGAGACCCTAAGTAGACTCTACATGTATACCTCTGGCAGAGATGGATTTAAGGAACTAATGGCTTCTTTGTCAGTGGTAACTCCCTAGAACAAGAAGCATGCCGGACTGTCTTTCTCCTGAGCCATGTACCAAAGAAGATGCTGCGAACTTTCTGATATAAATAGCAAGTTCAACTCTAGTTTAGCTGATGTTGACTACAAAGAAACCCATGATGTTCAGATCCAGTGGGTAAGAGCACTGTGGCTTCAGAATCAGATATCCTGTCGGCATAAGTTATGTGACCTTATACATGATGCCCTCTACACTCTCTAAGCCTTAATTTTTCTCACTTATAAAAATAATACAATTATACTATTGTTCATTTTATGAGAATCAATTGAGAAAATGTGATCCACATATAAAGTTAGTGGTGATGACACTATGATGAAAGACTCGATTTTAGTTAACAAAACTGCCTGTCTATGTTCCAGACATCCTGAAAACTCTTTATGCTCAATATTCATTAAAAGAGTTTGGTAGCAAGAAATAATGTCAGGATATCTGGGCTGAGGGTGCCTTGAAATACATGTCTTTTTCACCCATTCTGAAACTTCATGAAAGCGACAATGAAGGCATTCTTTTTAAGCATAAAACACAAGAACAGGAAGAACAAGAGAGGAGTCAGCAGCAATAAAATTAATTTTGAAAGCTGAAAAGCAGATGCATAAGGGGTAACTGACTTAATGCATGTGGGAAAGCCAAACCTTAAGCTGGCAGTAGGAAATGCCAAGAACCAATAAAACTTACTCTGAGGAATCTTCAAAAATATCTCAGGAATTAAGGCACCAGGTACCTCTGGAAAAGCTGGTAATGGGGGTAGGGAGGAAGTGGTAGCTGAAATAAGGAAAATTAAATACACACTATTTGAGAATCGACTGCCTCCCTAGGTACCCTTTCCATCTCCATACTTTTTCAGACAACACGAGTTTTATTCTCTGGAGAAGGTAAAAGAAGTTTCCTTGGACTATGGAACACTAACCAGGTTCCGCTGGAGGTTAATGGTACTACTCTAAGCTAAGGGCAAAACAGTGAATGTTTTGAATGCTTTGTGAATGTTTGAAGTCTTTCTCATACTTAGTTGGAGAGTGCCCACACTGGGCATTTTATCTTCTGTGAAGGAAGTAAAAAGTCTTTTTTAGATAATGTGACCAGGTAAAGAGAGACTGAAGATTAGGAACCACACAAAAATCTCAGTAAGATCACTCATTAATGAAACACACAATCAGTACATCCGACCCACAAACTTCTTAGACCCTATCATTAACATAAAGAGCGTGCCAAGATTTAACATTCCTGTGGAGAATGGGTAAGACTGAGGCAGAGATGAAAAGAAACTAGAGGAAAACTAACATGGAAGAGATCAGCAGGGTAAAAAAAAAAAAAAAAGGAATATATTGAAATATTGGAAACAGAAAAATTATAGCAGAAATAAAAACTTATAAAGTTCATGAGATATACGTCAGGTCTATTTTTACTCATCTTCTGGTTGTCCTTTCAATCTTAGACGTCATACTCATCTTTTTGGGGCAATTCCTTTGAATTATGTGTTATTAAAAAGACAAGTGCATGGTATAGAATTACCACTAATACTCTTCGAGTATAACAACATATATCCATGGGACATAGGGGGAACAAAAAGAAATCTCGAGAAATTAGCAACATGTTAGCTGTAATGAAAACCTCAAAATAGGATTCAAAAGATGATGAGAAACTTTTCTCAAACCTTCCCCCGCCAAAAAACAAAACAAAACAAAATGACAACAACAACAAAAAAAACAGAAAAATGAAAAAAATTGTAGAACTAATCTGAAAGTCCCACATCTAATTAACAGTATTTTTCCAGGCTGCGGTGGGGTGGTGGGGAAAGACAACTGAGAAAAAGGATAGGGGATAAGTGGCAATACATAATTCAGAGGAATTGCCCCAAAATGATGACTATGACTTCTAAGATTCAAAGGTCAACCAGATGTTGTAAAAACAGACCTGAAGTTTATCATCATGAATTTTTCAGAAGCTCTTTGAATTAATTTTTGGAAAATTCAGAGCTAAAATTTCCAGTGAAAAATAAAAGGAAAGAGAAACAGATCACGTACAATGGATGAGGATCAGAATAACTGTGGACTTCTGAACCACAGTTTAAGTTAACAGGCTACAGATAATTTTGCAATTTTGAAAAAAAACAGTTTTTGGCCTAGAATTCTAGGCCATCCCATACTATCAGTTAGGTATGAGAAATAAAAAGAGAATTTCAATACATTTACTTTCCCAGCATCTTTGCTTAGGAAATTATTGAATGTTTTTTTTTTCCTTTCCATGATGGCCACAAACCAAGATGAGGAAGACACTGAATGTAAGAATCAGGTCATCTAATATAGGTGACATATTAAGGATGAAAATTCTTTTTTAGTACAAGGCAATTGGGTTTATAGAAGAACAAGTCAGAGACCCTGGTTGAATTCTCTTCATGAAGATGAAACTGACAGGAATACTTTTGAGACATATATGGATGGCAGTAAATCTTGGGTTGAGTAATACTGCACAATACAAAGCAAACTAAGTATATAAGAACATCAACAGTAACAACTTAGTGATTACCTAGAAAATATGAAGATGTTCAGGAAAATAAAAGAAGCACATCTTAGAACTTAAAACATTTATAGTCATAAAAATGTAAGCACAGCCACGGGGATTACAACTGAAATTAGAAAATGCACAAAATGATGTAAAAATAAACTATTATATATATAAAAAAATGTAAGCAGAGAATTTTGATGCAGCCAAAATTAAAATTCTGTTACATCAGGAGAATGGGTTATATATTGGATGATGGTTGTGAGAAAGTTCAGAGTAAAATTGGTGGCCCGCCTTTCCGATAAAGCGTACAGGATACTGGAACATCTCTTTGGGACAAAAACTTCCTCCTGTTTTAATCTTTTTCTCTGCTGTCTCCATTATCTCTTCCTTCCCAGTTCTTTGCATTCTCTTGGAAAACTATTCATATCTTTACATGGTACTTAGGTCATTTTGAGAACCAAGTGAATATAAATAAGTAAAACACTGGCACTTCTGAAGATTCCCTCACCAACCGTTAGGCTAAATCATTGAAGTGCTTCATCTGATTACGAGAAAATCCTATGGTAGTATGGATAGACATGAAATCTCAAGAATATTTTGAGAGCTTAATTTTGTGGGCTAAGTTCGCACCAATTGGACCATCACACTTGATTTGGGGAACTTCATCTTGATGAAGTAAAGCAAAAACCAAAGCAACCTAAGTTCCTTTCACATCTAAGTCACCTCTGGGGTGGTTATCAGGGAAAGAAAGCTCAGCATAAATAGAGCTGATAAAGTGCTAACCTGGGCTGAATATTTTAACTGACAGTTGTGAAGTAAGATCATATCATCAACCGATATAAATCTATCATATCAATAAGGGGTAATGAAAATACTAGGGATTGAATATAAACAGAAGACACCAGAAGATCAAGTGAATTGGCAATGTAAGCAGAGCATTTGTGCTCTGGGGTGAGCTTTACTTCTTGCAAAATGAATATATCAGTTGGGCTGGAAGGAAGAATATAGATTCTTGGGGATCCCTGAAAGTTAGGGCTGGCAAGTGAAGTAAGGACGTATGACAGTGTCTTACATAACAGAGTAAGAGTTTGGAATCCTAAGCCTGTTTTAGATAGAGAACAACGTTTAAAGGTGTGACTAATGCCCTAGTAAGAAATTAGTGTTTCAGTAAAATTCATTTAGAAATGGCCTATAAAGTGTACTAAAGAGGTGACACAAGTGGCAGCAATGCTATAACAGTTTAAGGGTAAAGTGTTAAGATTTAAGATGTTGATGGAACGCTAAAAGAGATCTGAGGGACACTGTGCATCAAGAACGACAGTTAGATGACTAAAAAGAAAAAATCATAGATTACTATGAGCCTTAAGGAACAGAAGAGTTTGACTTTGAGTTTTAGGAACATGGAGATTTTTTAGAAGCTAGCTAGGCCTACAAATATTCAGTAAACAAATCAAGATAAAGAAATTAAGTCCACAGTGTTTACTGAAGGAAATGTCATTAATTCAGAATCTATCTTAAGATCCTCCGGGAAAAAGATGTGATTTAGAAGAGAATCAGCACCAGTGTGCCCTTCATAATACTCTGAGATATATACTGCTATGAAAATAACCTTTGCATTTGCATTCTGAAAGCATAACAAAAGTCCAAGCTTCTCAAACAAAGTCAGCTGAACTCAAACTATTTTAGAATTAGAAACAAATAAGGATAAATTAAGCTGATCAGTACCGTAGCTGAAAAGGAAGGAGGGGAGAGGGGAGGGGGTGCTCAGACTTCAAGAAGGGAAGAGATGGTCTCTAAATATTAGCTATGAAGTGTAACAGAAATTAACACATTCCCTACAAGGGAATTAGGAGAAATGATCTTTTTTTTTAACTAGAAAAACTTAAAACCTGGAATTTGCAGAATCTGGGTTTGGAAAAGACAATCATAAAATGAAACAATTGGCTTCTGAAGCTCAATTTATGTCCTGTTTGATCTAAGTACAAGGCTTTAATAAAGCTGGGACTGTTATGAAAACTGAAGACAGTAATGTCACAAAGTAGGATCTCCTGCCCATCTAGCTCATTTACATAGTTCTAGTTTTTGCCTCCAAATCTTGAATGACCTAAAAGTTTTCAGGAAAAAGTGGTCCCTTTGATTAAAGTACTGGATCCTAATAAAAGCAGCAACATTTTTAGCAGCAGTCTCTCCTTCCCCTTCTCCCTGACTGAAAACAAACAAACAAACAAAAAACCAAAAGGTAGGCATTAAAGGAGAGTGGATGTATACAGAAAACCTTAGAAAAGTTAGTTTCTTTAAATTTAAAAGTTAATTTACAGTTGACTGCTTTTGACAAGTTAGGAGGCAAGCTGAATCCACTCTACCTCTAATTCTACCAACTGGGCTATTACTCTACTGTACTATGAAGGCATGAAATTATGGCTGTTTTCAATTTAACTATAGCAACTTCTGGAAACATTTATGTGTATGTGTATATATAATATACAAACAAAACAGCTCTCCAACTTTTAGTCTTTTTTATAACAAGTGGGAAACTTTATGAAAAGGCAACTGATGTTTTAAAACATAGTAGCAGGAGACTAGAAGTAATTTAAATAATGTCTCTACATACTTTTTTTGTCTATGTCTCTACATTCTTAAGACCATGCAGAACCTGGAGAAATATAATGCCTCTTCTGAGTGCCCAGGAAAAATATATACATAAGACTTTGCTTATTCGTTTCTATAGAAATAAAAATGAGTATGAAGATTCAGTAATTCCTGCAGAAAGATGAGAAAGTGAGAACTAGGCATTCACTAGTCCTCTGTTGACAGGAAGTGAGGACATTGCATTTCTACGATTTTCTATTTTGGCTAGGCTGGATGCAGGCTGGTCTGCAGACCTCTGCTTTCCTTCCGCTGACTTGCGGCATTTCTCCAGTTCATTTAACAGGTGATCTCGCTCAGTCTGTAAGCTGGCCAGAGCACTGGAAAAGGACTGCACTTGGTGATAAGACTCATTTAACATTGAAGACATCTGAAACAGTTGTTCATCTTTAGATACTAGTTGTTGGTTGAGCTTCTCAAGGTGGGACAAGCCCTCAGTGGAGTTCACTGGAACATCAGCCCTTGCTGTCAGAGACTCTCTCTCTCTACTTAAGAGGACCTGCTCTTCTCTCAGTCGTGCCAATTCCTTCAGACTGGCATCATGTTTCTGCTTCAGGTCAGCCAGTTCCTCATTGGCATTATCCCTACTATTTTGCAGAGAATTCATAGCCCTTCCAAAAGACTGGATTTGTGCTGTAAGGTCTTTGTTTTCTTTGGTGACCGTTAGTAGTCTCTGCTCCATGTCTACCAGATCCTTGGCTAGTTCTGCCACTCTCTGTTCTGCTGTTTCAGTTTCATTTCTCATAATTCCTGCATTATGATAGAAATGTTTTAACTCCTTTTTCAGTTTATCCTCACTTTCACTAACCTTCTTGGTTGCTTCCTGCTGAACTCGAACAAACTCCTCCTCCAGTTCTGCAATTCTCTTCTGAGATGAGCAAAGAGTACTACTTAATTTTTGTACCTCCTCCTCTTTTACTTTTAATTGGGCCTGAAATAGCCCAGTGTCTTTTAGAGCTGTCCACTGTGTCTTCAGTTGGGATGTAGATAGTTGTAAGCGTGCAATCTCTTTAGCTAATCCTTGCTTCTCCTCCTGTAAGATAACAGAAGACCTCTGCAGAGCCTCCTTTGCTTCCTCACACTGTTTCAGTTTTCCTTCTAACTTGGTACACTCGCTTTTCAGCTCCTTATTCTGCTGAAGCTGAGTTTCAAGGAGTTGCTTTTGCTGACAGTCTTTTCTGGTTAACACTTGGTTCAGGTCTTCTCTGTATTGAATCAGTTCGGCATCCAATTTAGCATTTTGAGCATTTAAGTCATCCATGTGATTTCTTAAATCACGAATTTCTTCCTTAAGCTTATTATTTTCAGTTGCAGCATCCCGGATCAGTCTATCTCTTTCCAGGACAGCAGAGCGGTGTTCTTCTTCCAGCTGTTGGTAGTCACAAACTATGCGGTCTCGATCATCCTGGAGAGAAGAGATGGCGTTAATGAAGGATTTCAGCTGAGCCTTCTGCTGGGTGTTTTCCCTCTGGATGTTTTTTAGTGTATCCATAAGGGGACTGGTTTTGTGAAGAGCTTTTTTGTTCTCTTCTTCGAAAGCAATATTCTCTTCCTCCTCCCGGCACAGCAAGTTTTCCAGTTCTTTAAGTTCTTTATCATGTTGATGATGGGCTTCTGCAATAGCACCTCTGATTGCCTGTTCCTTGGCAGAAAGCAGACTTAGAATCTTTTGTTCTTTCATATTTATTTCTTCATTCAGCTTACTAATGAGTTTTCTGGACGCCTGAAGATCCGTTTCTAGTTGTGCACAACTGATTTTAGAATTTTGGATTTCAATCTCTTGTTTATGTGTAATTACTTCTAAATTTTCTTTATTTTCCTTATATTTATCTAAAGAGTTATTTAAATCAGTTACCTGGTCACTAAGAATATTAAGCTCTGATTCCATCTTAGCTAATTCAGCCTGAGAAATGGAATATTGGTGTCGAGTCTCTTCCAATCGAGACAAAAGTTCTTTGTTTTCCGCCTGTAAAGAATCACAGACTCGCTGCTGTTTTTGGATTTCTGTTTGAGCCTTGGATTCCCAGATCTGTTTTTCATGTTCAAGTCTGGAAAAGAGAGAAGGCCACTAATTGAAGGACGCCTCAGGAACACATACTATAACATGTACCGAGATCTACCAGTGAATTGATGTTCACAATAGGTCTTCATCCCTTTTATGAAGAGACATTAGTACTGTAGAATGCTCTGCATTATAACTATAGTAGACATAAGTGTTCATATATTTATATCTTAAGCTCAAAAGTGTGTTGCTGATTTCAGTGAAATGATTTTAGACACTAATGAGTAGTACTTTCTCTTATGTTGCTTTCCATTGATCCAGACAAGCTAATATCCATTAAAGAATAATCTTGGTGTGAGACAAAATGAGGAAACCTGTCTCAGAACCGAAAAGGATCCTATTAAAAGTAGAGTAGTTGGGGACTGAGTTGTTGTGCTTGAAAACTCATTTTATAAAACTAAGGTTTGAAGAAAATGCCTCTAACGGGCATATACGCTATGAATTGATGTGGAATATGAGAAATACAAAAGACAAGATCATTGAAGAGGGTAAGACAGTAATTTGAGAGCATTGTGGGCAGCAGAAATGGAAATGAAGAGAGTGAAATCTAAGAGGTCTCTTATTAGAAAGGTGTGAAGAGAAGCAGATGTGAATTTTTCATGTTAATACATGTAGCATAGAGTAATTTTCAAAAAAAATGACAGAACTGAGAAAGAATGTATCTTTTGGGGAAATTTAAGCCAACTTAAGTCACATAATACTAAAGTGAAGTGAATAGTTTCTTGACTTCAATTATTTTGCAAAGAAAGTGAGGGGGAGGATGTTACATTCACTTACCTAGAAATGTTAATCTTCAACTCCTCTGTATGTATGGACATCTGACTAAGCTGATCCTTCAGAACACTGACATTCTCTTCATTTATCCTCATTTCTTCTTCTTTGCTTTGCATGACATCACTGAACTTCCTCTCCCAGATTTTTGCTTCATCTATCAACCTCTCACGATCATATTGAAGGGAAGACATGCTCTCAGTACATGCTGTAAGTTGGGCGGTGGTACTATCCAGATTTTCCTGAAGTAGTTTAACCACCTTGTCTTTCCCATTCAAAGAATTCTGCATTTCTCCAAAAGTTTCCTCCCAGTGCACTTTTTCTCTATATAGAGCATCCAGCCTCTCTTGGGTATTCTTCTTCTCTTTCAGGTGTCTCTCTTCTGCCTGCTCCAGCCTTCGCTCCAGATCTTCATCCTTTTGTTTCATTTGGCTTTTCACTAATTCTTTATTTGCCTGAAGTTCCTTTTTCAGTTTGAGATTGTCTGCTAGGACCCTTGCTGCTTCGCTTTGAGTGTCATCTAACAGTATTTTAAAGCTAGCTAATTCTATTTCTGCCTGCTTGCGGTGTTCATCAGCCTGAGCAAGCTTTCCTTTGCTTATTTCTAAATCTTTCTGGGATTCAGACTGAACAAATTCTAAGGCTTTGACGGTTTTCTCCAGAGCACTAATTTTCTCTTGGTACCTGATGCAGTCCTTCTGCATCTGTTTCAGTTCTTGTTGCTTTTCTTTTAACAGCTCGTGAAGTTCCTTGGTGTAAGTTTTATCATTGGGTTCTTTCTGAGCACCTTGTATTGTTTCTAAATAGTCCTTCTGGGTGACTAACCCTTCCTGAGACTTCTCCTTAAGTAATAGCTGTTTTTCTTCTTGTAATTCACACACACACTTTTTAAGATTTTGCACTTCAGATTTTAGGAAATCATTTTTTATTTGGGCATCTGTAACATCCTGATGGTAATTCCCGATGCTTCCATTAAGTTCTGCTAATTGATTCATAAGCCTTTCTTCCAAATCATCTTTATCTGCTTCTGCTGTCTCCTTTAGCTTGGTAACTCTCATAAGTTCTTCTTGGATTTGTTGATATAACAGGTTTATTTTGGTTAGCTGCTCCTGAAGCATTTTAAACTCATCATCTTTTGCTGTTACTGTGTTCAATAATTCGGTTCTCTCATTTTCTAAAATTAGAATGAATTCTTTCTCTTTTTCCCTCTCTTGCTCTAATTCTGTAATTTTTTGTTTGAGGTGATCAATGTGCTGGAGGTAATTATTAATTTCATCATTCTCACATTTCTCAGGCTTGATATTGTTCTCTGGTAGAACCAATTCAGAATTATCAGGTCCCGTGTTCATACTCTGGTAGTCTTGCTCATGAGCCTCATCTGGGCCAGCCTGTATTACCTCTTCAGTGATACTCATCTGATAGTCGTTTTCTTCTATGAGTTCTAGCTTGATTTGTTTGGATACATTACCCTCCATGTGATGCTTTAAGTTTTGCACTTCCTTACTTAGAATGTCCTTCTCAGTCATTAAAGCTTCAAATTCCTTGGAAAGGGTTTCATACTCTGTTTTGACCCTTTCTAGGTCCTCCTTCATGTTGGAATTGGAAGAACGAAGTGCTTCCATACAGTCATTAGGTGGACCACCTGCAGGGTGTACCTCGGCTCGAAGTTGTTCATTCTCTTCTTCCAACTCCAGAATTTTCAACTGTTTCGATTTAGCAAATTTTCTCATCTTCTCTTTCATTTCCCCTATTTCCTTTTCAGCTTCCTGCAACTGTTTCTCTTTCTCTGTCTTTTGTGCTTCCGTGTGCCGCAGCTTACCATATAACTCTCTTTTTTCTTGCTTTACAGTTTCTACCACATGCTGAATCCTTTCTGCCTCATTGCTGACATTCTCATAAGACTGAAGAAGAACTTCATATTCTTTTTGTAATTCTGCATGTTTTGCTTGCCATTCATTGCTCTCTGCAATCTTGGAACATTTCAAAGATTCCATTTCCTGCAGTAGGTTTTTCTTGTCTTCAGTCAGACCCTCCAGAACTAACTTCAGATTTTCAAAAGAGCGATTGAGACTTTGATTTTCAAGCAAGGATTTGTCCATTTCTGTAATAAGTTTGTCTCTTTCTTCCTGAAAAAGAGCTAATTTCTTTATGATTAGCTCTTTTTCTTTATTTTGAGCAGAAATGTGTCCTTCTCCATCAGCCAGCGCCTTTTTGAGCTGCTCAATGTTTTCTCTGGCCAAAGCCAATTCCTCTTGGACACTGTTGTTTGCTTTCAGTAGATCCCTTCGAGAAATAAGTGCAGCCTGCAATTTCCTTTTCGTCTTTTGGTCTGCTTTACTTGCTTCATTGTCATGTAGTTTTTGCTTTACTTCACAATATTCCAATTCTAACTTATGTATCTTCTCATCATGTTCTTTAGATTGCATCTCCAGTTTTGTATGTAGACTCTTAATTAAATCATCCTGTTCCATTACCTGCATTTGTACTTTCACAAGGGCTGCTTCCCTCTCTATAAGCTGTTCAGAGAGGTATCTAGCTTCTTCTTCTTTTTTGCTTATGAGATTTCGCACTGCCCCGATAGCAGGTTGTAAGTCTATTAAATGTTCCAATCCAGCCATTTCTATTTGGTAATCTTCACACATCTGTCTTAGGCTTTCTGCCTGGACCGTAGATTCATGAGATGCTGCATGGATTTGGAAGCCCTGTTTAGCGATCTGCTCATGTAATTGCAATAACTCTTCTGATTTCTTAGTGAGCTCACTTGTTGTAGAACTAACCTCTTTCTTAGCTTCTATTTCTTTCGGTTGGGCCTGAATCTGCATAACGTTTGAATCGCTAGGACATGGAGGCCAGGCGGGGCTTAAGTCGGATTCTGAAACAAGCTGTGCAGGTTGCTGCTCCATGGCTGTGACAAAACGTTCTGAACCTCTAATGGGAGAGTCTGGTTCCTTTTGGTCAGTGCCTACAGGATTTCTGTGTACAGGCTCCCTCACTTGGACCTGCTGTTCCTCGAGCTGGTCTCCAATCTTCTCATTTTCCTTGCTTTGCACATCAGTCTTTTCTTGTGAGCCACTAATGACCACAGGCTCTAACTGTTTCTCTGCTACTGCCCTTTCTTCTAAATGCTTTCTTACCTGCTCTAATTCCTCCTCTTTTTCTGAGATTGCCACTCTGAGGGAAGTTTGTACTTGTTTGCATTGCTTTAGTTCTTCCCTAAGTTGTTTTTCTTTTTCCTGTGCTGTTTTGAAAATATCCTTGCGAGAGGTTAACACTTCCTGAAGCATCTTTGAAAGATGCTCTTTGGCTTTTTCAAGGCCTGATATCTCTTCTTCCTGTCCTGTCTGCCCATGCTCCTCATTCTCCATACCTGGTGGACTGCTCATCACTGTTTCTTTTACAGGTACTACAAAGTCTCCATCACCAGCACCTTTGATACCAAGGGTTAGCTTCTGGATAACTGCTTGTTTTTCAAGGATTTCTGCTTGGAGCAGATCTATTTGGGTTCCTTTTTCTTCTAAGTTCTGATTCACCTGCTTGAACATATCCTGTAACTGCATTTCAGCTACTATCTTTTCTTCTAAATCCCTCTTGACATGATCTAATTCTGCCTCTCTGTCTGAGATTGCCTGTCTCAGAATCGTTTCTACTTGTTTGCATTTGGAGGCCATACATTTTTCTGGATCTTCTTTGCTTTCTTTATTTTCATCCATGTTGCTCTTATCATCCTCATTCCCAGAGGCATCTTTCACTTGAGCCAACTCCTCTTCTAATCTACTAACTCGCTGTAGTAGCTCCTTTCTACTAAGAAGAGCTGCTTGGAGTTTTCGTTTCCTCTGTGCACTTTCTGTTCTTACAAGATGTAATTCGTGCTGAAGTTCTTCTGTACTTACTAGCTCAGATGGGCTCGGTTCATCTAACTTTGGTTTTAAGTCTGAAACCATTTCTTTTCCTTCTGCTACCTGCTTCATCTTTGTTTCTTCAGCTCTGGATAATAAACTCAACTGTTCTTTAAGAGTCTCAATTTCAACTCCAAGAGAAAACTTCTCTTCCTTGAGCTGTAGCATTTTCTCAGTTTTTTCTGTGACTTCCTGATCCTTTTCCTCAATGGCTTTCTGGAGGACTTCCACCTCTCTCTTCTTCTCTTGTAATTGAAGGTCTTGCACAGACACAATTTGTACAAGTTCTCCCACCTTATTTGAGAGACCTCGCTCATGTTCCACACGCTCAAGTAATTCACTTTCTTTCTCTTTCTGTATGCTTTTTATCAAAGTAGACTGCTGAGAAAGCTTAAGCTGCATATCATCCAGTTCATTCTGTAAAGCTTCAATTTTCATATCTTTACCTCTAGTTTCAATGTTGAGACTCTGGATCTGTTCAGTTAGCAAGTTGTGCAGTGTAGTATGATTTTCATAGTCAAGTCTTTTTTGATTATCTGCCTCTGCTAGGTCCACTTCTAGCTGTTGTACCCGGGTCCTCAGTTCTGTTATGCCAGATTCCTTCACCTGAGAAAGAAGTTGGTCTCTTTCTTTATTCAAAACAGTGAATTCATTGTTGGCATTTTCAGCTTTTTTCTGATATTCTTCAATCAGCTGAGTTAAATGGAATATTTCCTTCACTTTCTCATCTAAACTTTTCTTATAGATTTCTGCTGCTTGACTATGGTTTGTTTCAAGCTCCAATACTTGACATTTTAGATTTTCCAACTCATCTTTGTGACACTGACAAATAACTGGTACTTCAGGTGGGACGGTATCAGCTTCATCTGCAGCAGGGTCATCTGAAGCTGCTTCCTCAGCTATTCCATGTTTATGTGTAATGTTCATTTGCACTTCATTCTCAAATGCCGTAACACTGGTTTCTTCCTTTAGTATAAGGGGGAGATGTTGTGCTGTATTTTCAAGCAGTATTTCTGTTTTGACTGGGTGTATTCCTTCATCCTCTCTCTCTTTTACTGCCTTTTGGTGATTGATTTCAGGGTCCCCATCAGCTTTTGATACTTGAAGTTGAGATTTAAGGTACACAATCTCCTCTTGCGTTTCCTTCATTTCCAACAATAAAACAGATAGTTCTTCATGCTTTTGACATAATGCATTCTCCAGAACATTTTCTCCACTTTCTTCAGAAGGAATGTTGATCTTATTGTGCCCGCTCGTATTGGTAAAAACCTATTTCATAAAAAGAAAGGAAAATGTTTTATAAGAAGGTGTAACTGAAACCTGACGTTTTATATTGGACTGCTCAGTGAATTTAATCAATTATTTCTTGGAAAACAAAATCAGTGAGTTATGAAATTTATTAAGTGAGTTTGTGAACAACATGCACAATAAAATTCCCACCTTTGTGAACACAATGAAAAGATTTATTTACTTCTGTGTTCATAGAAGCATCAGCCACAATAGCCATGTCATGAAACCAATCTAAATGCCCAATGACAGACAAATGGATAGGGAAAGTATGGAATATATATTCAATGGAATACTACCCAGGACCAAATCATGCATTTTGCACCAATATGGATGGAATTGAAGTGATGATGCTAAGTGAAGTAAGTCAGAAAGCGAAAGAGCTGGTGCTTCATTCATTTGTGGGATGCAAATAAGCAAAGGAAACAAGTTTTCTGAACACAACAAACATAACTCTTAAGACTCTGAAAAACATGGTGATTGCCAGAAAGGAAGGATGTAGAAGGCCAGGGAGTTGGGAAAACAGGGTTTACGTCACAGTGTAGTGGTATAGCAGCTTTGTTGGTGGGTGAATGAGAACGTGCACATGTGGATGTGTGAAGCTTACTCTTGAAACCACATAGTTATGGAAACAAATGACACATCAAAACAATTTAATCAACTAATAAGTAAGTGGAGATATATATTTTACTGATGGACTGAAAAGTTACATAATGCTAAGATGGTAAGTCTCCCAAACTAATCAATATTTTCAATACAATGCTACGTCAAAATTCCATCAAGCTTTTTTTTTCTAGAATCTGAAAAAGATGCATCATTTAGGAGGAAAAGCAAAAGACCTGGAGTAATCTAAGCAATTTTGAAAAAGAGAACAAAGTCAAAGGCTTTGTATTACTTGACTTCAAGAATAATGACTATCTATAGTAATGAAGATAGTGAGATTCATGTATAAGTATTATAAACAGATCAATATATCAACATCAGGAAGTTTGAAAAGGCCTATGAAACATTAATTTCCAAAAAGGGTATGAAAGCAATCTAATGAGAAAAGCAAAGACTATCTAAAAATGGTGCTGACCCCCTACTCCCCCCATTCATGTTCATCATGTCATTATTTACATTAGCCATGAGCTGGAGATGAATTAATTGCTCAATGATAGATGATTAAATGAAGAAGGCGATACAGATACACACTGGAATACTATTCAGTTCTAAATAAAAGTTGAAATCCTGCTATTTGCAGCAACATGGATAGACCTAGAGAATATTATGATTAGTAAAGTCAGTCAGAGAAAGAAAACTACCATATGATTTCACTTATATGAGATACTTAAAAGAAACTAACAAAGAATAAACATTTAGATTGCCAAACCAAGTTAATGGTTACAAAAAGAGAAGGAAAAAATGATGGAAAAGCTGATAAATAGGGTTGTCTGTTTCAGGAAGGCATTACACTTTCAGCAGGAGTAAGCTTAACAAGCTATGACATTGTTGAAGGAAACAGAGGAAGAGACAAAGAAATAGAAAGATATACCCTGTTCGTGGATTGAATGAATCAGAGTGATTGTAATGGCCATCTTACCAAAGTGATTTATAGAATCAGTGCAATAGGAATAAAAATTTCAATGGCATTCTTCAAAGAATGGTACAAACATTATTGAAATTCAAATGCAACCACAAAAGCTCCCAAATAGCCAACGCTGCACTGACAAAAATAGAGGACAAAAGAAGATATCATATGTACACTCTCAAGAAAATAGCTGTTCCGCATTGTTTGGCATCAGGGAAATGCGGAGTGAGACCACAATGAACTATCATTACACCAGTAAGTCAAACATTTTTAAAGGATAATATCCAATCAGGAGATAATGCGGAGCAAGTGGGAGTTTTCATATATTTGAAGTAGGAGTATAATATAACACTATCAGTTTAGGGAAAAAAAAATAACTCACCATACTTTAAAAGCTTAGAATATGTTCTTACTCTATGGCCCAGAAATTTCTCATCTTGTATTTACTCAAGATAAATATCTGTGCAAATATTTGTAGAGGATGTTCATAGCAGATTGATTCATATTAGTCAAAGCATCATTAAGTACAGGTATTGAACAAAAAGGAAATTATAACCCAATCATGTAAAAGGAAAATGTGGTCTGTTTATAAAATGGATGTATTCTCAGCATTATGAAAGAATAAATTGATATATACAACAATATACATGAATCTGAGAACATGCTGAGTGAAAGAAGTTTTATACAAAACAGTACTTACTGTATGATTACATGTACATGATGTAAAGAAGGGAAAAGTAATGTACAGTGAAGGAATAAACACTCGTCATTCTGAAGGGGAAGTCTGGGATTGACAGCAAAAGAATATGTGGATGCTTTTGGGGTGATGGTGACTTATCTTGATAGGGATTTGCTCTATGCATCTGACAACACTCAAAAATGGTACATGTAGTGTTCACACACTGAATGTAGTATAAGTCTTACTACCTTACAGGAATAAGAATTATAACCAAATACATAAGAATCTAGTCAGTGATATGCACAATGAAATACTTAGAGAAAATAATGATGTTGACAACTTATCAGAAATGTATAAACAATAAGATGAATTGCAGGTTGGATAAAGGCATAGATATTTGTCCAGGCAAAATAGTAAAATGTCAATGACAGTATCTCAATGGTGCGTACACAGGTGTTTATAAAACACCTGTAACTTCTTTCAAGTGTTTAGAATTGTTGAAAAGTATTTTAACAACACTGGTGGGAAGCATTGGTTACAGGAGAAAAAAAGAAGACAGTGGAATATCCACCTGTTAGAAAATCGAGAAGCAAAGACTTTTGTCAGTAGCCAGTATTAGTGGAACTATGGGACACTTCTGGTCAATATATCTGTCATCCTGGAAGGGTATATATAGTGGGTGTGAATGAATCCAGTTATCCCAGTTTGATGCTAGCTAGCTAATAGCATCAAACTAACTGTCCTTATTCTGATACTCATGCTTAATACGCAGCCTTCTGGAAATGATGATCTAACTTCCCATAGACATTTTTAAGAAGGAAGGGAGAACATACTGGCCAGTAACAGTTGCTTGGCAATTTAAGTTTTTCCAGTCAGTTCTTCAGTGGGTATCATGGTTTCTCAAATAGATTTTTCAATTTGGTTAGACAGAATTTTGTACCTAAAAACTAACCAATTTTAGTCTATTAAAATTAAAAATGACTTTTCAACAGGGAAAACTAACTTTAAGATCAAGAATAGGAACTCATCTTCAATACAGATTTCTTGAACATTATACCCAGAAAAGCTCATGGCATCATGGTGCTTTGACACAAACTATGCGACGGCTATCGTCTGACAGATTCCGGGTAGCTCGGGAAAAGCTCTGAAAGATCAGACATTCCAGGCTAACTTATGTTATGACCTCCCTTTTTTGTATAATCGTAATATCAAAATATTCTGAGCAACTTTCAGCCTACAATTGGATTGCCTCAGC